CAGGGGATCTGAACTCAGGTCCTCATGCTTGCATGGTCTCCACCAACTATTCATTCATTTCCCTGCAGTTCTCGGCATCGGGAACTAAGCTCCTTCTCTGCTAGTTTTCAGTGTGTTCACTTATTCTTCCAGTTGCCATCTTCTTTCAAGCTCCTGTGTTCTTTTCTAAGTAAAGTCATCGGAGGCTTTTACTCATGCACCATTTGAATAGACTAGCTCTGCAGATACGGTTTACCTAGGGCATCGGCATATCAATTTGTTCCCTGTTTTTTTTTTTTTTTTCAGTCTCCTTGCCACCTGCATGCACTAAGGGAGATCAGAGTCCAGTGCTGGGCAATAAAGCTATTGGGGAGCAATCTCTCTGCCCTGGGACAGGTACATGGGTTACAGCTTCCCCCACTCCTTTGCCTTATCTTACTGCTTTTGTTTCTTCCTTCCCTCATTTCTTTTCAGTATATAATGTATCTTATTTTTCAATCAATTTTATAGGGGTATAATTGACACATAGTAAACCAACATATTTAAAGTAACCATTTGATAAGTTCTTATAGGTGTACATACACAAACCCATCACCACAGCCAAGATAATCCATGACCCCCAAGGTATCTATGTCCCCCTGTTATCTCTTCTGCTCTCTTCCTTATTATAGTTTAAATCTTATATAAACACCTTTATGCACTATGAACGATTTAAAACTCCTGATGTCTTTTACTCAGCATAATATTTTGTGGTCCATCCATGTTGTCTTGACTTCATCATTTTTAATGTCAAGTAGTAGTTCATTGTATAGATGTACCACAATTTTTTTGGTATCTATGGTTATATGGCTGCTTTGATTTCTGAGCATCACAAAACAAGTCTCTGTAAACATTTAAGAAAAAAATCTTTGTATAGATGTTGCTTTTTCACTTTTTCTGGGGTTAAAGTCTAGAGAAATGTGTAGATCTCATGTGAGGTGTCATGGTTTGATTCTGAAATGCCCTCTCACAAATTAATATGTTGGACATTGGGTCCACAGGTGGTGCTAGTCTGGAAGATAATGGAAACTTTAGGAGGTGATACTTAGCTGGAGGAAGTAGGTCACTTTGGATGTGACTTTGCACTCTATTTCCTGTCTGTCATAAGGAGAGCAGGCTCCTCCACACACTCCAGCCATCATGACATTCTGTGTTACCAAGGGCTCAGAATGAACTGAGCCCAGGTAACATGAACTGAGACTTCTGAAGTGAACAGTCAAAATAAGCTTTTCTTTCCTTAGTCATTTATGTGAAAGGCTCTGCCAGTGTAAAGTTTTACTCAGACATTTTAAGCCTGGCTCAGTGGCACATGCCTGTAATCTCAGCACTCAGGGAGACAGAGACTGGTGGATCTCTGTGAGTTCAAGGCCAGCCTGGTCTACAATTTGAGCCCAGGTTAGCTAAGGCTACACAAAGAAACCCTGTCTTGGGAAAAAAAGACATTATAATCAATTATTCTTTCTTCCCCTCTCTGCCTCAGACTCCCTTATTTGTTTCTGAGGCCACTCTCTGGGGGTGAGAACTCTGTTTATGATCCTCATTGGTACCCCCTTGCAAAACACATAGTGCCTGGGGATTAAACCTAACAATAAGTTTCCATATAGTAATATCTGTGGCCAGGTGAAGACTCTGAGTGTCTATATCTTTGTTTATAATTCTCTGCTCATTGGATTTCGGGAGAAATTAAAAGAAAATGATCTCTAGATTGTACTATGCCAGCCATTGTAGTAAGAGTTGACTCATAGGGGACTCTTTTAGTATTGTTTTTTGGCAACAAAGGTGTTATTGTTCCCATCTGCTATTAATGAGGACAGGGCAACTGAAATGGTGGTACTTGTCCAATACTTCATTGCAGAACTGAGATTTAAACACACAATTTTCCTAGTATGTTAAACTCTCTCCATAACATCTAATGGCAAGGTCATTGAGTGAGGTGTGACAGACACTAGGAACTTGGTGAACAAAGAGTGGTTTGGGAAGAAGGTTGCAATTAAGTAGGGTGAGATACAATTCACTGGCAGTGATAATCATGGCGATCAGATGGCTCTGAAGGGCATTATCCAGGAGGCTAAGGGACATGAGCTTTATTCTACAGATGACTAAAATAACATGGGGCTTAGAGTCAGTGAAGAGCAGGATTGGACTCCTGTTTAGAAAGTTTGTCCATTAGTGATGTGAGAAGCAGAGGGAGAAAGAGTCTGGAACAATCCTTCTCATGCCACAGGAAGATGGAAGACCACAGCAATGAACAGGCTAAAACAACTGGGCACTTAGGTAGATGTCGTAGGTGTGCCCACTCATCAAGGCTTTATGTAGTCATACTCTTTCTGTCACCATGGTCAGACAAGAAGAGTGAGGCCCAAAGGAGAAGCAACACTTGTCTCCTACATCACAGAACAAACCCTCAAGGGATGTGCCCCATGTACTGGCTCATAACTGTCTTCAAGTTATCCACTGTGGGACTGAAATTTGTACTTACATTGTCATGTCAGAAATCCAAAGATGGCATTCCTAACCCATATATATGGGGTGTGTTTGCTTTCTCACTCACCAAACCCCATCATAGGGTAGATCCTGGAGAAGGGGCAGACCTTTATGAAGGCTAGCCCCGTTCTCGGCCACCCCTGCCAGGTACTCACATCCCTCTGCTGCTATCTGCTTAACCATCTTCAGTGACAAAGGCTTCTCTCTCCCTCAGGTACCCTGAACATTTTCTTTACTTTTTGGTTCTCTGAGTCAAGGTCTTAGGTATCTAGTCCAAGCTGATTTTCTAAAATGATTTTTTTTATTCTTATATTTTTACTTTACATGCATTAGTATTTTGCCTGCATGTATATCTGTACGAGACTGTCAGATCTGCTGGAACTAGAGTTATACACAGTTGTGAGCTGCCATGTGGGTGCTGGGAATTAAACTCAGGTCCTCTGGAAGAGTAACTAATGCTCTTTACCACTAAGCCATCTCTCCAGCTACCAAGCTAATCTTGAGCTTGCAGTTCTCCTGCCTTTGTTTCTTAAATCCCAACATTATAAGCTTGTGTCCACTATCCTTGCCTCACACATTTTGACATAAACATTATAAACATTTATTCCATTAATTAAAAAAAATCTAAAATCTAAAATATGGGTCAGGTATCTTTAATCCCAGCACTTGGGAGGCAGAGGCAGGCAGATTTCTGTGAGTTTGAGGCCAGCCTGGTCTACAGGCAAGTCCAGGACATCCAGGCATATTACACAGAGAAACCCTGCCTCAAAAACAAACAAACAAACAAATAAAAAATATAAGCCAGGAAGTGGTGGCACACATCACTGCACTTATTCCCAGGACTTTGGAGGCAGAGGCAGGCAGATCTCTGTAAGTTTGAGGCCAGCCTGGTCTATAAAGTGAGTTCCAGGACAGCCAGGACTGTTACACAGAGAAACCTTGTCTTGGAAAAAAAACAAAACCCGACCAAACAAACACAAAAACACAAACCAGCCAACCAAACCAAACCAAACCAAACCAAAACCAAAAACAAAAAACTAAAATATGCTTATTAAGATGGTTCCCACTCATCTCCATTGAGGTGTTTTTAATTCTTCTCTCCCGACCCCCCGAAGGAATATCTTCCTGGCAGCCTTGCTGTCAACATCCTGACAGGAAGGGAGATAGTGTAAAGAGACACTATTGACCCTCCCTCTGGTGATCAGACTTAAAAATAATGGACTCCAAGAAATATGACTTTCTCCCAGAGATCACATTCTGGAAATAGGAAAAGGCTGAAAGTCTGGGGTCAGTCACCATGATTTCTCACAGTTTTGACAACTTGTCAGATCACCTTGTAGGGAAGACTGGAGCTCAGATGGTAGTTAGGGTTGGAACCACACCTTGAGCAGGACTACTCACTTATGCTCTCTGTTTAAATTTAATCCTTGTGTTCAGACACCGAAGATTCGTTTGGAAATCTCTACATCTCTTTGCCCCTCTTCCCAGCATGGCCACATTGCATGAGCCACCTTTTTCTGTTTACAACTATTGAATGTTTACTTAGCTGGTCTTTTGAGAACTGGTGGCTAAAGTGGACTTGTCAGGGGTCCTGTGCCCACACTCTGGCCCTGACAACTCCAGTAACACTGCTTTTCCTCTGGGAGGCTGGCCAGTGAAGCAACCTATCAACAAAACATGGCTGAAAACTGGACTTCATAGCACCTTGTAGCTTTGTACCTGGCACCCCTTTCTGTGTTTCTTGTTCTCTCTCTGGGAGGGGATAGGTGAGATCTTTCTGGAGAGGCTTCCATTCTCTTGTAGCCTTTGCTACTGGAAAGGGAAATTTTATCTTTTTTCGTTCTTTCTTTCTTTTCTTTTCTTTTCTTTTTTTCCCTCTGAGTCCTAATGAGCTTGGCCCATTGCTTTTGGTATTTTCCCTGAATCTTTTGGCCCCTACTCCAATGGCAGTTGAAGGTAAGGACTGGCGCTCTTGGTACTATCTGGGACAAAGTTTAACAGAGATTTTTAAGGAGTGCTCTTTGCACACAAAGCATTGCCAACCAGGCTGCCGCTAAGTGGCTGCATTTGAACTACGACATTCAAACCCCAGTAACACGATTAAAGCTGGAAATGATCAGCTGGGATTAGAAGGATTCAAAGGGTAATTGCTTCAGGGCAAGCTGTATTGCTCAGAGTATAGCAGGGACGATGGGTAGAACAGGAATTAATTATACTGGGATACTTGTTTATTTTTACAGAGACTTTTAAAATCATTTGGAATTGGCCAAGTTGTGCCTTTTCTCCAATACTCTTGGGTTTGGTTAACTACTGAGGGTTTGTCTGCCAACTGCAATTACTTCCATTCTTGGAAACCATAAAGGCACACAACCATACTTACCATAAATCAGCGTGATAAATCCTTTTATTGCCTTTGTAATAATGATGCCGAAATTTGTAGAGTGCTCATAACATTTTCAAAAGGCTTTCACATCTGTTATCTTGGTGTGTCTTTGCAGCAATCCCACAAAATGGCTCAGGGCTGGCACTTCAGTTTGGAGATCATGATGGTAGAGAAGACCAAAACTGTACAACAGGTTAGTGTCAGAGCTCTTGCAGCCCACAGTGCCTGCCTCTCACACAGGATGCCTGTTCTGTTGTACTGGGAGGGGGGAGGGGTGGGTAACAACTTGTTTGCTAATTAGGCGGGGCTGGGTACTGCCAACTTGGAGTGAAAAAGTCAGTGTAAAGGTGTAAGTAGAGGTTGAAACTCATTAATGATTTGGCCATTTAAACTGAGGGTGGGGAAAGTGAACCATATCACTGGTGAAGTAACAAAAGTGCATTCTATATGAGGCTCTACTAATAAGCCCTAAGGAATGAACTTTGGCTTAGAATTGATAACCTTGTCTTATTTCTGCCCTTTCTCCTTTCATGGCTTTTGTATTTATCACACAACTATGCCACAAACACCTTAGTTTCCTCTCTGAGCCATAAGTCTATCTAATCAAGACCTTAACAAGTAGTACAATTAAGGCTAAATGAAGCATTGTATGTACTCGAGCCAAAGAAATCTGAGGCACTCTGGTCACTGGCATTTTTCTATCTGACGTGTGCTTGTCGGGACATCATCATCAAAAGCCAGTCACTACGGCTGATGTTTCGCAGCACATTTCACATCCATGCTTGTCTTAGTTTCTATTGTTCCTGTATACCATAATCAAGGAAGCTTATAAAATAAAACTTTTAATTTGGGGCTCACTGGTTCAGAGGGTTAATGTCCGTGACCATAATGGTGGGGAGCATGGCAGGCATGACTCTACATCAGAATCTGAGAGCTTTCATCTTGGTTCACAAGCTCAAGGCAGAGAGAGGGAGGGAGGGAGGAAGGGAGGAAGGGAAGGAGAGAGAATACCTTGAAACCTGGAAGCTCACCCCTGGTGACACACCTTCAACAAGACTACACCACCTAATCCTTCTCATCCTTCTCAAAAAATTCCACCAACTGGGGACCAAGTATTCAAACGTTTGAGTCTATGGGGGCCATTGTCATTCAAACCACCACAATGTTCTAAGGAGTGTTTAATGCCTGATTGTGACAGAATGGGTTGATAGGATGTCAAAATCTGGGCTCAACAGATAGAGGTAAATGAATACAGGTGAATGCAAACAGCACCTGAGAAATCTCCTTCCAGCTCTGAAGTGCACGTAAATCCCAGCTTCCGTGACTACTCCGAGCCTGTCATCCTGCTTCAGCATTTGTTCTGAAGATGGAGTTTCCACACAATACTTGTTTCCGATTATAAAGCCACTGCCAATAGAAGCAAAGTTTCCTGATTTCCCAGACTGCTTCTGTGCAGTTTATTGAGAAGTAATCACCCAATAGAAATCATTGCTCTGTTCATTATGTGAAATGCAAAACAAAAAACTAGCTTGCCTTTAAGCCAACACACAAAAGCCGGTCACATTCCAGGAGTAGGGAGAAAGCTTGATGCACAGGAATGCTGGCTGTGCAAAGCACAAAGACCTGAGTTTTAACCCTCTGCACTCTTGGAAAGGGCTGAGCATTGCCATGAACACCTGCAACTCTAGGGCCTTAGCAGGTAGAGACTGGAGGATGGCTGAGGCTTTCTGGGTGCCAGGTTAGCTCTGTTCCAAAGGCATGAGGTGGAGAACGAGCGACAGCAGAACCATCCACACCCTCCTCTGCCTTCTTCTGGACACCCACACCTCTATACACATGTGGTGTGCATCACATAAACACACACACAACACACACACACTCTCTCTCTGTAAATTCAGTAGTGTTTTGTATAGTAACAACCAACTGTCTGAAAGAGAAATTAAGAAAATAATTCAGTTTATTATAGTTGAAAGCAAAAAAAGTACATGGGAATAAAAAAAATTGTTTTTGAAGCAGAATTTCACTCTGTAGCACAGGCTAGCTTCTAACTCCTGCTCTTCCAGCCACAGTTTCCCATGTTCTGATTTCATTGAAATGGGCCACCATGCCCAACAAGTGAAAGAATTGTATCAGGTACTTATCAAAAGACACACAGAAGCCACAGATGTGTTTTAAAAGGCCCAGAATCAGCAATTATCATAGTTATGCAAATTAAACTCACAGCGTGATATTGTCTCCTACTTGTTAGAATTATTTTTGTTGTTAAAAAGAGGAAAGAAAACAATTGACAGAAAGGATGTGGAGAGAAATAAACACGCTGTTGGTGGGCATATAATTATTATACTCAATATGAAAAACAATATGGAATTTTCTCAAAAACTAAAAATAGAACTACTAGGCTTGGGGTAGGGGGCAGCTCAGTGGCAGAGCACCTGTGAATGGTGTGTAAGAAGTCATGTGGTTTGATTGATAGAACAAAAAAAGGATTGCATAGCCAAAGGAAAATGACATCAATACAAAGAACAACTTTCTGCTCTGTTCATTGCAGCAATTTTCATTATAGGCCAAATATGGAGTCAACCTATGCGCTCATTACTAGATGAGTAAAAAAAAAAGTGTATAAATAGTTCTATCATCATTCAAAAGAAGAAAATTCTTTCAATTTTCAACATCAGAAGGAAATCTGGAGGACATTACACTAAGTGAATAAGCCAGGACTATGAAGGCAAATGTCACATGATTTCCTTTATACACAAAGCCTAAAAGAGTTAAGCTCAAAAACAGAAAGTAGAAAAGGTGGTTATGAAGGGCAGGAGTGGTATTGTTTGGAAGGGTGTTCTAGAAACATCAGTCTAAGGATGCAAAAGTTTAGTTAGAGAAGAGACTAAGTCTAAAGATTTTTATATGATATGGCCTTCCTTCCTTCCTCTTCCTTCCTTCCTTCCTTCCTTCCTTCCTTCCTTCCTTCCTTCCTTCCTTCCTTCCTTCCTTCTTCCCTTCCTTCCTCTTCCTCCCTCTCTCTCTCCTCCCTCTCTCTCCTCTGTAGACCAGGACACAAATTTAAGAGATCGGCTTGCCTCTACCTCTTGTGTGCTGGGATTAAAGGTATGCTGGGAAATTTTCAAAAGACATTAACAAAGTAGATTGAAAGTTATTTATTTAGTGGCTGGAGAGCTGGCTTGTGCTGCTATCCACTCAGTAATCTTGTCAATCTAAAAAATAGGTCTCAAACATGCTCACCATAAAAACTAACTCATTGTGGGTAACTATATACATTAAGTGGTTCAAAGCAGATACTCCACAATGTATACATATTTCAAAAAATGTTATGCATTATAAACACATATAAATTTCATTTGTCAATTAAACCTAGACAGTTGAAAGACTTTCCAGACACAACTCAATACATCTGTCCCCAAACGCTATCTGTAATGGCCCTGTTATTCAGTACCTCAGATTCATTGAGTGACTCTTTCCATCAGTGTCTGCATCCTTGTTCATAGGTTCTGAAGTGCAGGTGAATAGGATGATAGTGTTGCCTTCACTGAAAGTACTATAACCAGATGAACATGAATGTTGGCATCCAATCTGTCTGGAGTTAGATCCTGGATTTATCACTTGTATCAATTGTTGAGCCTCTCTGGAACTCAAGTGGCCAGTTGTTGGAAAGCATCTGGCACAAAACATAGCCCAGTTGTGCCAGGCATGTGTGGGTCCCATTTTATAGTTGGTCAAGACCTTTTCCTGACCATGAACCCAGACCTCACTTTTCCCCTTTCTCTCTATGATCCTCCAAGCATCTTAATCTAACCATTCTTTAACAACTTAATATGAAACTTAATATGCCTTGTTCATCTGCATAGAACCTTTCCTGTATTCTTGGCTTAGGAGACATTGGCATTCCACCATCTCTTGTATGATCAGAGTCTGAGCCTAATTCTTTGTCTTGACAGTAGCCCTTTGAACACAAGAATGTGCTTATGGTTTACAAATAAACTCCCACGCCTGGCACCAGAAAATCTAAGGCTTTTTCTCTTGTAGCTTGGATCCAGCTGCTTGTCTATTGCATCCAGAAAGCCACTGTTATAGCAAAGTTTGTCCTTATGTTAGTGAAACCTGGTAGAATGGCTCTGCACACATGAACCCAGACCTGGCATACAATTGCTTGAGATAGAGACTTAGCCTGTTTTCAGTGTGAATATTTCTGGGTATCTGAGAGGATACACATTTAAGAGAGGAACTGCTTAAAGGTAAGTAACCCATTCTGGTTGAATATGCATTGCTGGGTGCTCACAAACCTGCAGCCATAATTCATGTTACCATGAAAAATCTATGAAAATTCTGTGTCTTTATGACCGTGCATCTATGTTACAGTCTCACTTTCAACATTTACAGATCTGATGGTGTACACTGGAATATATCATTATTGTTTGAATTTTTAGATTATGAGTAAGGGTGAACAATCTTATGTTTGATCCCTGACCGATGATCATGTTTCATATACTTTATTGTATCTTTGCAAGAGAGTGTTGCATTTAACAAGGTCAAATTCATCATGTCTTCTTTCATAGTTTGAACTTCTTGTGTGATTCTCACTATTGGGAATGGTGTCCTTCTACTAACCAGGAAGTACAAGCAATATGTGGAATAAGTGGAGGCTGATGCAAAGGAGAATTATGGCAGGAGTTTCCTTGGAAGGCTTGACTCTAAATCCTCACTTCAACTTGTCATAGCAAAACTGCATGAGAATTCATAGGGAAGGATGGACCTAATCCTCTGTTTTCTTAAGCACTAACATCTTGCATAGTTAACAGTATGATATGATCAAAATCAGGAGATGCACCTTCATTCAGCCTACATAATTTATTCCGATTTTATCACTGGTACTTGCTCTCCTGGGTGTCAGTATCTGCTGAGTCTGCTGTAGCTTTATCACTGGCATAGACTCCATAACCCACCTCTGCAATCAAATCACAGATTTATTCCATGACCACAGGTCCTGATGCTGCCCAACCATAGCCTGTGATTTTGTTTAAGTATTTCAAGACATTGAAAAATAAAACCAATTTTGTTTTTTTATGACTTTAACATGATATGTTTAACTTTAGTATGAAAATACCAACATTTTTTGTATCTATGAAATATTAGTTTTAGGTTCCCTGGGGATGCTCAAATTCCTAAGTGTTGGAGAAATGTATTTTTATAAAGCAATGTAGTATTGACAACATATATCTATCATCTCTGGATGACTTCTAATAATTAGTACAATGCATATGCTATATATTAGTTTTTAAGTGTGTTTCTTGGAGAATAATAGCCATTATTGGTACATGTTCAGTACAGACAAAAGTGTTCAAATATTTTAAGCCCCAATTAGTTGAATCTCTATGTATTGGAAAATGTTTCTGTTCTTGTGATACAATACCTGATTCATGTAGCTTAGGGAGGAGAGGTTTATTTTGGCTCACAATTTTTTTTAACTTTTTAAAATTTTTTATTAATTACACTTTATTCATTTTGTATCCCCCCATAAACCCCTCCCTCCTCCCCTCCCAATCCCATCCTCCCTCCCCTTTCTGCATGCCCCTTCCCAAGTCCACTGATAGGGGAGGTTCTCCTCTCCTTTCTGATCTTAGTTGGCTCACAATTTTAAGAGTTTCAGACGAGCCAGGTGGTAGTGCCACACGTCTTTGATCCCAGCAATTGGGAGGCAGAGGCAGGCAGATCTCTGTGAGTTTGAGGCCAGCCTGGTCTACGTAGGAAGTTCCAGGACCGCCAGGGCTACATAGAGAAACCTTGTCTCAAAAAAAAAAAAAAAAGAAACAAAACAAAGAGTTTCAGTCCCTTGTGAGGAAAGATGGCAGCTAGGGCTAGGTTTGTTATGGTTATGGTTATGGTTATGGTTATGGTTATGGTTATGGTTATGGTTATGGTTAGGGTCAGGGTCAGGGTCAGGGTCAGGGTTAGGGCTTACTTAACAACTGATGGAAAACAGAGACATGTGACTGAAGTGGAGCTGTTCCAGAATCCTTGAGCCCTGCTTCTCAGGCTCCATGTTTGCCACCTAAGCATCATGTCCAAAAGCCCCCAGCAGCTGTTTTCCTAGCAGCTCTGCTAGCCAGAGGTCAAGTGTTCAGACACAAAAATCCATGGGGGGGGATCATTCATATTTATACCATAACACCGTGAATTTGGACATTGCAGATGTGGAGGGAGACAATACACACAGCATACAAAGCAGGATGAGCATGGCCTCTGGAATCTGGTGTGCCTGTGTTTGCAACACTGCAGGGTAACCTTGAGTCACTTTTTCTAGCCTTGTTGATGAGGAAATTGGGGAGGCATGTAGCCTTGTTGAACAATTACCAATGTGTCTTGAGAGTGATAGTTACTATAATTAAGGCTTCTTTTCTCAGATGCCAACCTCATTATTCTGATTTTCTTCTGAAGGAGTAGGAATTGCTGCTGCCTTTGTTCCTACTCTCCATCTTAGCTTTTGGTGCAACCTATTTGGGAAAGTCTTTAGTTCATGTATGTCTTCTTTTACTTTGCTCCTGTGGAGGGGAGTATCTGCCACAGAAGCTTCCTAAGTCCATCACTGGGGCCTCACACCTCCCCTTTCTTTGTGTCTCACACATTTTCTGTTTCATCTACAGTTTACTGGGAAGCTGCTGGCCTTGGCTGCCTGGCTCACTGGGAAAATCCTCCCTGTGCCTGCGTTGACATGCTGGGTGCCCTTTTAAGGGGACTGCCACAGAGGCATGATGGCTCCTGATCCAAGCACAGAAGACCAAACGGGGTGAGTCCGCAGCATCCTTCCAGTGGAAGAAGCTATTCTGGGAAAAAAACCACTCCAGTCATCCCATTAGCATAATCTCAGGAATTAATGACTTGATTGATATCCCACGTTTCCCTGCAGTTTTCTATAAATGATAACGTATTAAAACGAGATGGAGGAAAGAAAACATGACACGACATATATTATTTAGGTGTTTGCAGAGAGGCCGGCACACAAACACACACAATTTATCAACAGTCTTTTTTTTTTTTTTTTTTTTTTGCATGGTGTTCTGAGTCTGGAACTGCCAAGAAATGGAATTAATTTCATAGCAGGTGATTCTAGACTATTTCACATGGGCCATCTGTCGCTTCTTCATTTACCTCTCTGCTGTTACAATAATTAATCATTTCAGGCATAGGCTTGGCACAGGAAGCTCTACCACGGCCGAGAGAGCTACAAGAGGGAATAGCATTGAATTGCTTGCTCTAAAGAAGTAGATTTCTATGAAGCAAGGATGTTCACATTTTTTTTTAACTTGCTTTTGTCTCTGACACCACTGTCTCAGGTGTTGGAGGCAGCTTCATAGAGTATTGCTGCAATAATACATGTTCTTTTTTTGTGTGTGTGTGCAGCAAAAGAAACCGAGTTCAGGGAAGTTTCATCAAATGCTTAGCCTCACATAAGCTAATAGACAAGAATGGAGACCCAAACTTCAGCTTATCAAATTTTTGAGCCTTAGTCATCTCTTAGGGTTTGAACCAGAGATGTCCTGCAGGCTCATATTTTGAGTGTGCATTGGTTACTTTACCCCTGGCTTTGGCAAAGTACCTGTCAAAGCAGTTTAAGGAAGGAAGGGTTTACTTTAGCTCATGGGTTGAAGTTCCAGACCATCATTGGCAGGAACAACATGACAGTGGAGGTGTGAGGAAGATGACCACACCACTGCATAGACAGGAAGCCAAGAGTGATAAATGTTGATGCTCAGTTTGTGGTCTCCCCCTTAAGGTCTCTTCCCTTTGTTCATGGGATGGTGCCACCCTCATTCAGGGTTCATCTTTACTTGTTACACTCTTTGGTAATGGCCTAGAAGTGTGTCTCTTAGGTAATTTTAAATCCATTTGTGATGGTTTGAATGAGAATAGCCCCCATAGGCTCATATATTTGAATGCTTGGTCCTGAGTTGGTGGAAGTGTTTGAAGGTTAGGAGATGCAGCCTTGATAAAAAAGGTATGTCACAGGTGGTTGACTTTAAAGTTTCAAAAGCTCATATTCTTCTCAATTACAGCCCCTCCTACCTCTTGTTTATGGATCAGGTATAAGCTCTCACCTACTGCCCTGCCTGACTGCCTCTGCCTGACTGCTGCCATGATCCCCACCACGATGGTCATGATCTCACTCTCTGGTACTGTAAGCTCCAATAAACTGTTTCTTCTAGAAGTTGTC